ATTAATATATAAAATGATATATTGATATATATAAATGATATCTAATATGTGATATATGTTAATGTCAATATAAAAATAATCTATATTGTCCATATGTCAACATATATGCACATCATTTTTATATGTAAGATTTATTTGAAACATTGTCTAGTGTAGGGAGCAAGGCTCTTGTCCCCCTAAGGTTTGCTGAGAAATCACCAACATGAAGCAGATTGATTAAAACAAACATGAAAATACAAATTCATTTTAATCTGTATACATGGGAGCCTTCAGAATGAAAATTCAAAGATACAAGGGAAGTTGTTCATTTGTATGCTTAGGTTTAACAAAGTATGAACAGACATGTAGAAATATGATTGGACAAAAAGGTTAAGGTCTAATGTTAGTAGACTGAGTAAGGAACCCCAGCAAGGCCTGTGTGTCTAGATTCTTCTTGGCCTCTCTGAGCATGCATTCCTTCCTTTTGGGTGTGGGGCAGGACCCTAACTGGAATGAGGGTCTTATGGCCTATAGTCAAACAAGGTAGGTCAGATAATTACTTTATGGCTAGTTTTTACACAGAATATATATATATTTTTTAAGACAGATTCTCACTCTGTTGCCCTGGCTAGAGTGCCATGGGATCAGCCTAGCTCATACCAACCTCAAACTCCTGGACTCAAGCAATCCTTCTGCCTCAGCCTCCCGAGTAGCTGGGACAACAGGCATGTGCCACCATGGACGGCTAATTTTTTCTATATATTTTTAGCTGTCCAGCTAATTTCTTTCTAATTTTAGTAGAGATGGGGGTCTTGCTCTTGCTCAGGCTGGTTGTGAACTCCTGACCTTGAGCGATCCACCCGCCTCGGCCTCCCAGAGTGCTAGGATTATAGATGTGAGCCGTCTCACCTGGCCTGAGAATAACTTTGGGTTTTATGGCTGGCTTTTGGGAAAAGGGGTTCTGGCTTTTATGACCCACCTTGGGAAAGAGGGTTCTAGTTTCTGTGGCTACCTCAGGGAAGAATGGAACTGAGAAGCAGGACGACAGGAGAAGGTCAGAGAACTTTTGCTTCTGAGGCCTTAATTGTGGAGCACTGTTTTATGAGCCTTGTCAGGAGGGTATGTGTAAACTGTAAATATTGTCATCAAAATTGGGAGATGATACCCAAGGTTTACAGAGAACTCCATGGGGCTTTTGTAGTATAGATGACTTGGGTGTTTAGGGGAGTATTATAGGCCTCCAATATTTATTTGGATGTAACCTGAATTTTTGTGTTTTAGGTGTAAGATAATGCAATATGAAATTTTGTTACCTGAGAGTTCCTGGCTGTACCTTGATTTGTGAATGAACGTGCATAGGCGTGAATCTGTGTGTGTGTGGTGCATGGTTTCTATGGGAGGGTAATTTTCTCTTAAGTGTTTTGTGATTAGGAGTAATTCCATGCTTTCTTTTTGGGTTGTTTCCTGGTTCCCTCATATTTACAATGTTTACATTGTTGTCATTTTGTTATTTGGGGCAGTGTCTCCTCACCCCAGCTTTCTGTGATTTGCAGATATGTGTAAATACTGTCAGCGTTTGAGTTGGATTAGGCCCAGGCATTTCTTCCAGTTTGTAATTTGAAGAGTACGGTTTGTGAGCTGACGTTCTGTTGTTTAGAGTGTGTTCTGACTCATATCAACGTGTTTGCTGATAAACTGTCAAAAGCCCTGAAGTGTAGGAAAAATTGTCAAGAATTTTCCCCTTGTTAGGAAAAATTGTGAAACACATTGAAATAGGCAGAAACGATTATTGGCTGTTCTGTTTGGTGTGCTTTTCTGAACAATCGGTTTCTATAGCAGCTTGCCCTTTTCTTTGTCTTTGAACTACTTTACAACACTGAATTGTAAGAAACTGATAATAACATTAATGATTCTTGTCCATATAAAAGGAAATGCATTTTATCATTTGGAATGCAGTTATTATCCTCTATAGATTTACCAATTTTGTGTTTCTTAGTAAACTCATTTCACTTTCCTAATTGTTTATTTTTGTGTGTCCTTTGATTTCTCCTTTAAAATACTGGTAACAACCTACTGGCTGACTTGTTAATTAATGGCAAATAAAATCTTTGACATATATTAATTTTACATTTGAGCAATTAACTTACCTTTTCTTTTAAGATTGCCCTAAGTTTCCATTTCTGAGGAACTGGTTTAAGTACTCTGTTTACTTGGATCTATGGTTGGGGATTTGGGGTGTTATCTATAAATCTGAAAACTTGTATGCTGTAATTCTTTCTTCAGCATCCTGAATACCATTCAGAATATTTGGGAGGTATATATTGTATCTTTAATGATCATCCTGTACCACACTATTTCTTAGATCTTTCTATGGATTTAAGGCTTGCCTTCAGAAGCAGATATTTTGTTTTTTATTTTTTGTTACCAGCCCAAATGAATTGCCTATTAAATAATTGAAAATAAAACTCAATCTGGTTCAGGGTAAAATCTAAATCCCCGACCCCAAGTTCTGCCCTATGCATGAAATAGGTTTGCATTTCAGTATTTTAAAATTACAAATAAACACATGAAAGCTTCCCACTGGAATCCTAAGTGTTTGGTAACAACAGCAGCTGTGGCCTTTTAGATTCCTTGAGTAATATAGAGGAGCAGGCAGGATAAAAGAATCTTAGGAAAATGAATTGGCATATGACGTCCAACATTACAGCTAGAAAACACAATTCCTTTTTCCGTGTTCTTATCACATAATTGGCAACATGAATAACACAGAGGCAGTAGTAGAGGAGACTTTTCTAGAGCTTACCTATTTTATTCAGAGGCCTTGCTTTATTTGAAATTCGTGCCAGCCTTTACAGCATTATTGTTTTGCTAGGAGACAAGAAATTACTGGAATTTTACATATGGAGGCCAGAATCTTCTCAGTGGGTTATGTAAATAAGAGAGACATCCTAATACAAATAACAGGGAACAAGAGAAACAAGAAAGCCATTATGCAACTACATTTCTGGTGAAGGCTGTTCTACAGTGGGAGATTGTGGTAGGCTGAATAATGTTCCTTTCTACTCCCTCCCCTAACACCACCAAAAAACCGATTTCCAAATCCTAATCCCAGGAATTTGCAAATATTTTCTTACATGACAAACAAGGACTTTGAAGATATAAGTTAAGAATGTTGAGAAGGGGAGAGATTACCCTGGTGGACCCTAAATGTGATCAAAAGAGTGGAGAGGGCAGTGTGACCACAGAGGCAGAGATTGGAGTGATGCTGGCAGCCACCAGAAGCTAGAAGTGGCAAGGTGTGGATTCTCTCCTAGAGCTTCCTGAGGGAGCATGGCCTGGCAATACCTTGATTAACCTGGTGACACTGCTGTTGGATTCCTGGCCTTCAAAACTGTGAGGGAATTAATTTCTGTTGTTTTAAATTGCTAAGTTTGTGGTAATGTGTTACGGCTGCTGTAGGAATCAATACAGATTTTGGTACCTGGAAGGGAAGTGCTATATAACAAATAGCTAAAAGTGAGGGAGTTGGGGAATGGGCACCAGCTGGAAGAATTTTGAGATACATGATAGAAGAGCCCAGATTGCCTTGAACAGAGTGTGGGTAGAAATATGGACTTTAAAGACTGCCAGTGAGGGCTCAGGAGGGAATGAGCATGGTAGAAAATATCTGTACTGTCATCGAGAACATGTAAATTGTCATAAGCAGAATATTGTTAAAAACATTAAAAGAGATACTAGTGAAGGCTTCAAAGGGAAAGAGGAATACATCATTGGGAATTGGAGGAAAGGTGATCCTCTTTATGGAGTGGCAGAAAACCCAGCAGAATCGTGTCCTGTGTTTGTGTGGAGAGCAAAAGTTTAAGTGAGGAACTTGGATGTTTAAGTGAGGAACTTGGATATTTAACTGAGGAAGTTTCCCAAGCAAAATGTTGAAGGTACCGCCTGGTTTCTTCTTGCTGCTTATGGTAAAATATGAGAGGAAAAAGGTAAATAGAAGGAAGAACTATTAAAACAAAAGAAAACAAAACTTGATGATTTGGGAAATTCTCGGCTTATCCAGAGTGCAAAAGATGGCAAAATTAGGGGATTCACTGTTAGGAAAGTGTGCTGTGCAGAAAGAGAAGGTCAAGGATAATGGCCCTTCCCTTCCCAACTTCCCCATGGTGATGTGACTTGATGTTTCTATTCTTATCTGTCATTGATGCAGTAAGGGAGGCACAGGCAAATAGCAACATCCAAGGTATTAACTGAATATGTAGGGTATAAAACTAGATATTTTGGGATAGATTTGGAACTTCTTTCATTCTTAAAATGCTCCAAAAACATTTTGTCCTGGTTCCTCTCAGTTCAAACGTCACATATGTGCTCTGACCAAGGGAGGTCACTGTGAGATTTTCAAAGCAACCGAAGGCTGGAGATGAGTGGGTTGGTTTCAATTTGGTAATCATAACTAATGGTCTATTTTAATCATCTGTGATTGATGGCAACCAGCTGTGGTAGGTGTGTATTAAACCCCGGAAAGCTGCTTAAAATCTTGTAGTCTTTTACTAGTATTTGATGATTAATTATTATGCCTGTTAAGTTTTAAACGGAGTGAGAATTAGGTCAATAGGAATGTTTTTCTTATTTCTTTCTTTGAAACAGTTGGGACAGTGACAGCGGTCAGTTTCCTAGTGTTATTTTGCTGTTTCCCATACTCATATCTGTGGGTTATTGAGAGCTTAAAAAGCCTGCAAAAGAGATAAGGAAGTGTGCTGTAGCCTTTTTGAGAGGATAAGAGGAGAGGACAATGGTCACAACCGAGAGTGTTGACTGTCGTGTCCCACATTACCTCCTCTGTGCCTAGCACACCACATTTTCGATCATGAAGCTATTTGGTGGGGTTGGGGTAGGAGTGGGATGAGAGTGAAGGAAAGGGTACAGTTTGGAAACAGGCTTGTAGAGGGTTGGGGTGATTGAGAAAGCACAGTTGTCCCCTTAGAACTGGCTCTAACAAAGGCTTGTTTTGTGATTGTTTGCAGAAAGATTACCACTTTGAATATACGGAATGTGATAGCAGTGGCTCCAGGTGGAGAGTTGCCATTCCAAACTCTGCAGTGGACTGCTCTGGCCTGCCTGACCCAGTGAGAGGCAAAGAATGCAGTATGTTTTGTCTTTCTGACCATTTATTTTCCTGGTTAAACCATAAGATGTTCAAATTAGCAAGATGTTAATTATAATGAATATAAGAAGCCTTACAAAAATGAACTTGTGGCATTTATGTCTAGCAGAATAAATGCAGTCTTCCTCCACACTAGATGCTCTTATGTCTGAAGCCTGTAATGAGACACAGGCACTATTAAAGGATGTTATTATTTTAAAAATATGTTTATTCTCTTATTCAAATAAGAGGCAGTAAAAAAAATACCACTGAAGACTTTTTATTAAAAAAAAGAAAAAGAAAAACAAATACGAGGCAGGCAGAGTGGCAGAATCTCTCTTTAGTGGATTTCTTCTTATTTAAAAAATTTTTAAATAATTAAAATTTGGGTAAAATGTTCATAACTTAAAATTTACCATGTTAAAGAACCATTTTGAAGTATACAGTTCAGTGGCATTAAGTGTATTCACATTGTGTATTATCATCACCACCATTCCATAGAACTCTTTCATTTTGTAAGGGATTTCTTTTTTTTTAGCCATAGAAATAACTTAATATAATTTGTTTTTGTTAGTGTAACCTACAGAGAGATTGTAGAATTGCTGAATATCATATTCAACAGCTTGTCTTTTGGTGATTAAGCAGGTTCGAAGTGCAGCATTATGAATTAACAGAGAAATTGTCATTAAATTTATCTTTGTTTATAAATTCTACTTTTTTTTTAATCCTTTAATTTAGTGAGTCAGAGGTTTCTGTAGTGAAATAGTCTGGGGGTTGCCTGCAGTTCAGAGCTGGAAGTAAAACAGGGAGAATTTATTATGGTTTTCCTGCAGTCTTCCAAGTGGTATTCCAAAAAGCTTAGTTCTTCTGTTCCCAAATGCAAGAGTGGGTAAGCAAATATCAGATGGATAACTAATTCCTCCCCATTCATACAGAGACTGTGCCTCTGTTACTAGCTGGAGGAGTTTTAGCATGACTGGTGGGTTTACTGAGAAAAGGGACTATGATAATCGTATGAAGAAATTTAGGGATAAATTATTTCTTGGTGAATGATGTTAAATGAACACAGACCCTGAGAAAACTCTGTGGGCAGGTGAAAGTTTCAGTCTAGCAACAGTCTTAAGAGACAGTGGGGTCTGCATGGAAGAAGAAGATGCCAGGCTGGGGTACAGGCAACCACTTGTGCAGAGGGCAGATTAGCTCTCAGGGAGGAATGTCATTACAAGGGAAACAAAGCCTGAATATTTAATATTTAAACATTTACCAGCATACCACCTATGTAATTAGCCCATTGTAAATTTGCTTTAGTTACTTGCCTAGAAAATCTGTAAATCATATATCTATACTGACTTTTTACTTTTGGGCTAGTTCCCTGGTTTTCTCATAAACAACCCTGTTCAGGTGATTACCTAACCATTGTGAATACTAACTGCGTATCTGGATGGTGTGGTGGTGCTAGTTAGCACTGACTTTTGAGAGCTGATTGTCAATTTGCAATGGGCCAGGGTGGAGTGTTGTTTTACACCATGGAAATTGGCAAACACTGCAAATCAGGGTCCTCCCTTCCCTTGGGAGCTGGATTTTTAAATTCACCACACACCACTAATTAAATTTATTGGCCAGGGGGTCAAAAATCTGTTACAGAATTGATGCCAGCATAGGAATTAGTTTTAGTTGAATGTTGCCAGAGAAATTTTTGCTCATTATTTACTATGATGTTCCACAGATAAGGTTTTGAATCTGACACTCCAGCAAGAACTTTTCTAAAAACTGACTAATCCAGTCACAATTAGTTATGACTTACTTTAAGAATTATAATACATATGTAATGGCTGGGACATTTTTTATCTTTGTAATTTGTCTTAAATCTGAATTTCCAAGTACTCCTGTGTAATATGTTTGCTCTGGAAGTTGCCAGTCTACCCTTAGATCTGTGACCTTTTCTTTGTTATGCTAAAGGAAAATTATTTTAAAACTCACGAGTAAGGTAATGGATCTGTATTAACTGAGAAGTAACTTATAAGTATAATTTATAGCATTAAACATGTATGTTATTTACCACTTTACCAGTCATTAGAGATTGGCTGCTAAAAGCAGTGTAATAATAACTGAATATTTTTTCAGTGGCTTAGATTTTTGATTGCTAATAATATCATTTCTCAAATACAGATTATGTGCCAAACATTGTGCTTAGAGCTGTATGTCATTATCCCAGTGTATCTTCACACCAACTGTCTCAGATAACCACTATCAGTGTTTCCATTTTACTGATGAGAAAACTCAGACTTAAAGTGGTGAAGTAACTTTCCTCAGGCCATATATCCTGGATGTGGCAGATGTGGTGTTTAAATATAGACATGTCTGATTCCAGAGCCTGTCTCTTGCACACCGAGTTAACCTTCCACTTGAAGGTGGAGCCTGCAGGAGCTTCCAGGTCTTCATATGGGGACCATAAAGCTCTGTTGGTAGACCTAGCAGTTGGCTCATATAGAAAAAGAAATTGAAAAGTGGAATGTGGCAACTTCAAGTAAGTGAAGAATATTTAGGGCAGTGATTATGTGGGACATGATTTTCCCAGATTCTAGCATCTCTAAATAAAATCAAACCCAGAATTTGGCCTTTGTTGAACTTGCTGTAGATTCTTCAAAATGTAATTGGGTAGCTCTTTTATTGTTTCTCAGAAAGACACAGTGGAGGGGGACTTTCCCAGGAAAGGGATTATAGGAATACTCATGAAGCAGTTGTGAATTTTTCTAGAAAATTGACCAGCAAGCTATATTATATATTTGTTTTTTAAAAATCATGTACTGGCTACAAGGCTTCTCTGAGTGAAGTTAATGAGAAGTTAGGTGTCCATTTTTGTTGTGCGGGAACCCTGGGGTATATGTGAGCCAGAAGCTTATAGGGCTCAGGAAATGACATAGAGAGGCCCCTAGTTATTAATTGACACTGATCCCCATTGTCCTCTTGTCCCCTCTGCTGTGGAGAACTCATCAGTCTTCTTTGTTAATGTAGCTAGTGGTCTGTCGATTTTGTTTGTTTTCAACGAACCAATTTTTCATTTTATTGATCCTTTGTATTTTTTTTTTTTAATTTCTATTTTGTTTAGTTTTGCTCTGATGTTTATTGTTTCTTGTATTCTGTTAGCTTTGGGTTTGGTTTGTTCTTGTTTTTCTAGTGCCTGGAGGTGTGAAATTAGGTTGTTAGTGTGTTATGTTTCTGCCTTATTGATATAGGTATTCAGTGCTCTGAGCTCCCCTCTTAGCACTACCTTTTCTGTATCCTAGAGATTTTGGTAGCTTGTGTTGCCATTGTCAATCAATTAAAAAAATATTTTATTTATATATTGATTTTGTCATTGACCCAAAGATTGTCCAGCAGCAGGTTTTATTTAACTTCCACGTATTTGTATACTTTTGAGAGTTCCTACTGGAATTAATTTCTATTCCACTGTGGTCTGAGAAGATATATGGTATGATTTCAGTTTTTTAAGATTTGCTGAGACATGTTTTTTAGCCTAATATAAGTCTATCTTGGAAAATGTTCCATGTGCTGATGAGAAGAATGTATATTTTTTAGTTTTTGGATAGAATGTTCTGCAAATGTCTGTTTGGTCCTTTTGTTCTAGAGTCCATCTTAAGTCCAGTGTTTCTTTGTTGGTTTTCTGCCTTGATGATCAGTCTAATTCTGTCACTGTAGTGTTGAAGTCCCCAGCTATTATGATGTTGTTGCTTATTTTGTTTCTTAAATCTAGTAGTATTTGTTTTATGAACCTGGGTGCTCTAATGTTGGGTGCTCCAATCCAATATATATTCAGGATTGTCATATCTTCTTGAGTTGATCCTTTTATCATTATATCATGGCCATCTTTTTTTTTTGTTTGTTTTCACTGTTGTTGATTTAAAGTTTGTTTTCTACATGACATAAGAATAGCTACTCCTGCTCACTTTTGGTTTCTATTTGTGTGGAACAGTTTTTCTACCCTTTCACCCTGAGTATGTGCTACCTTTTAGGAGTTAAATTGTTTAACTCATAAAAGTTAAACAACTTGTTTAACAAATTAAACAATTAAAACTTGGAGACAGCAGATATTTGGGTTATTTTATTTTATTTTATTTTTTATTCATTCTGTCAATCTAGATCTTATAAGTGGGGCATTTAGACCATTTACATTTAATGTTAATATTGATAAGTGAGGTACTGTTGCAGTCATCATGTTGATTGTTACCTGTTTGCTTTGTATTTTCCCACTTGGTACTGTCTATAATAACTGTGAATTTTTAATTTTGAGTATTTTTACACTGGTGTGTATTGACTGTTCTCTTTGGTGTTTAGAGCTCTTTTGAGCATTTCCTATAGGGAAGGTCTAGTGACAAATTTCCTTAGAGATTGCTCATCTGGGAAAGATTTCATTTCTCTTTCATTTATGCAACTTTGCAGGATACAGTAATCTTGATTGACATTTATGCTGTTTAAGAATACAAAAATGGGGCCTCAGTTCCTTCTGGTTTGTAAAGTTTCTGATGAGACTTCTGCTGTTAGTCTGATGGGTTTTTCTTTGTAAGTTGCTTGATGCTTTCATCTCGCAGCTGGTAAGATTTTTTTCCTTCACTTTGATTTTGGTCAGATTGATAACTATGTGTCATGGTGAGGTTCTATTTGCGATAAATCTTCCAGGAGTTCATTGAGCTTCTTGTAAATAGATGTCTAAATCTCTAGCAAGACCATAGAAGTTTTCCTCCATTATATCCTCAAATAGATTTTCTATAATCTTTACTTTTTCTTCTTCTTCAGGAATATCTATGATTCTTATAATTGTATGTTTCACATAATCCCACATTTCTTGATTTCTCGATTGTTTTTATTTTTGTCTTTAGTTTTGACTGAGTTAATTTGAAAGCCTTGTCTTTAAGCTCTGAAATTCTTTCTTCAGACTGGTTTAGTTTGTTTTTAAAGCTTTCTGCTATAATTTGAAATTCCCTAAATGACTCTTCCATTTCCAGGAGGTCTGTAATTTTTTGTGCTATCTATCTCTTTTGTGAATTTTTTATTCATGTCTTGAATTTTCTTTTGTTTCTTTGTGTTGGTTTGTAGGTCATGGATAGGTTTACAGCATAGATTGTAGTAATAGTTTCACAGGTGTATAGTTATCTCCAAACTCATCAAGTTGTATATATTAAATATATACATATTAAATGTATGCAGATTTTTGCATGTCTATCTTATATTGATAAAGTAGTTTTTAAAAAAGGAGTAAGTAGAACAATAGTGGCAGTTTGAATCAATAGCTTTTGTGTCTGTATATGTTATGTGTCTGGGGTATGTTTAGAAAAGCTTTTATGAAATGAAAACTGTTGTAATTAATTCAGTGAATAAGTAAATGAGCATGGGTTTTTAGGTCTAATTTTTTAATTACTTTTTCAAAATTAACTTATTTTTATTTCTGGCTAAGCTTTCCAATGTATTCTAAAAGAGGAGTCTACCTAAATGTGAGGCTTTGCAGCTTCTCTCTCTGTTGGGAGATCTGTTTTCTTCATTGAATATTACAGAGGTTTTATTTTGTTCTTGTTCCTTTAATATCTTAATTAAAGGATTAGAAAGCCTTTTTCTAGATTTGAGTCACTAATACCACCCTGTGTGGAGCTGCACACTTGGGGGACATTGATTTGTGTTTGTTGAATGAATAATAACTTAGTAGCAGAATTGCTTTTCTTTCTGTAACTGTGTCAACTATTCTTCATATCTGCTATCTCTTGGTACAGTTCTCAGACTTAGCAGAGAACTTGACATGATGAATCATGATGAATAAGATGTATGTTATGGAAATGACTAGGTTGATTTTGTGAATATTGAAAATACGGCTCATGTTTTTAGAGTGGAGATAAATTGTTCAGCTATTGCACTGCTGTCCTGTTTTCCTCTTTGTCCTTTGTTGTTACTGACTGGATCAGCATTTTATTTGGACTTACCATGTGCCAGATATAGTTAGGAATCCAAAAAAACTGATCCTTGTTTTCTTTAAGCTCAAAGTTTCACATTAACTGATAAGTAGGGTATGTATACACACACACTGATAAGTGGGATATATATACACACACGTATGCGTGCACATATATATGTATATATTCTTGGAGGTATTATAAAAGAATACTGTAGTAGTATAAGGGGAGGCACAGCTCAATGCCTGGTGGGGACTAGGAAGGTGCTCTGTCATGAAGAGGGTCATTTTTGAGTTAATAGGAGTTTTCCAGGAAGAGAAAGTGTGTTGGCCAACATCTCTGGGGAAGAAGACCACCACAACAAGTGAGAGGATGAATATTTTGGGAACGATACGAATTTTGTTATGATTGGAGAAGGGTGGGGCAAGGGTGGGGCTTGGTAAAATACTGTGGGGCCAGACTGTGAAATGCATGCAGTGATAAGGGAGACATTGGAAGGCTTTAGGTAGGGTGTGACATGATCAGAGTTTTGTAAAAATAATCCTGGTGACAGCATGAAGTGGGGGGGATTGATGGAGGAGGACAGTGAATAATATGTTGTCCGTTCTGTCTTGCAGCTTTCTCCTGTGCTTCTGGAGAGTATCTAGAAATGAAGAACCAGGTATGCAGTAAGTGTGGTGAAGGCACCTACTCCCTGGGCAGTGGCATCAAATTTGATGAGTGGGATGAATTGCCAGCAGGATTTTCCAACATTGCAACTTTCATGGACACTGTGGTGGGTCCTTCTGACAGCAGGCCCGACGGCTGTAACAAGTAAGAATCCAGAGCAGCCTGTAGATCTTGACTGAATACTTGAGAAGAATATAGTTGCTCTTTTCCAGAAAGAAGATGAGGATAATCTTGATACTAGTTGGGATCATAGATATGCTAATTGCAGAATCATATTTTTGGACAATCATGATTAATAATGTAGCTGAGTTTTCATAAGGTTAAAATCATTGCTCTGCAGTAGATACTGTATGCAAAAGTGCAATAAAGCTATTAGACAAATGAATTAATTTTCTCATATTTATAACTAAACTAAGTCCATGGTGTTTAACCTTTTTCTAACTTTTTTTTTTTTTGAGACAACAGTGTCTCACTCTGTTACCCAGGCTAGAGTGCAGTGGGGTCAGTTTAGCTCATAGCAACCTCAAATTCCTGGGCTCAAGCAATCCCATTGCCTCAGCCTTGCAAGTAGCTGGGACTACAGGCACGTGCCACCATGCCCAGCTAATTTTTTCTATATATTTTTAGTTGTCCAGTTAATTTCTTTCTTTTTTAGTAGAGATGGATCTCGCTGTTGCTCAGGCTGGTCTCAAACCCTGAGCTTAAGCAATCCTCATGCCTCAGCCTCCCAGAGTGCTAAGATTACATGTGTGAGCCACTGCGCCTGGCCACCTTTATCTAATTTTTAATGGATAACTTCAGATTTCTTTTTCCTTTGAAAGGAAAAACACATAACCTTCATTTACCACTTGATTATCTCCTCCTATAAGAGAGAGTGGGTGACGTACCTAAGGTAGAAGTGCCTTTGCTTAATTTTACTCTTTTATAGGGATTATTAAGTTGCCTGTGACAATGTTGGAAGAATGTTAAATTGTTCTGAAAAAAACAAAACAAATGTTTATCTTTGACTATTCCCCTCCATGTTCTCATGTATTGATAATGCCACATTTCCTTTCATGTGGACATAGGAGAATTAAACTTTAGGTATTTGGTTACCTTCTGACAGTAATGGTCTCTTAGGACCCCCAAATTTTTACCAGGAGCTGAGGATCCTGGGGAGTTATTTAGCTGTGCTAAAAGTTGAGTTTCCTTCATCCTTCTTTCCTTCCTATCTTTCTTCTTTCTCTCTTTCACTCTTGCTGTCTATCTCTCTCTGCCAAATGACATCGATTTCTTTATTGTACTCCTCTCATCACAGGATTATTCCTCTAAATGTGTGTGTTTTAATACAAGAGTTCCTTATAAGAAGGTACTAGAAGGATGTTATGGGATCTCAGATCTTTGTTTTTAGTGGGCAGGAGATACTTACATGACTTCTTTTGTTTTTAACCTGGAGTAGCTATTCATCAAAGAAATTGAATGATAAGCAGTTTTTTAGTGTAGTGTCTTCTAGTGTACTTTTCTCAATGTAAATTTCAGTCTGATATTACTGTATTTATTTTCCTTCCTTTTTTCCCTCCTTCCTTTTTTCTACCCATCTTATCTTGTAATCTCTTCACTATTTTTAATTGATTGAGTCATATAGGAGCTATATGTTGAAATTTATAAAAAAAAATTGTTAGTTTTCCCAAATGGTTGTATTATAAATCCCCCCAGGAGTATATTTGAGTTCTCATTATTTCATGTTTGCCAACATTTGTGTTGTTAAGTCTTGTTTTATTTTAGCCATTTGAGTGTGTGTCAGTGAAATGAATCTTATTGTGGCTTTTGCATTTCCCTGTTGTATAATACCATTTAACATGTTTCATGTGTTCATTGTCCATGTGTTTATTTTCTTTTGTGAAATGTCTAAGTGTTTTACTCATTTTCTACCTTTTTTTTGGTCATTTGATTACCAAGCTGAAGGAATTCTTTGTGTATTCTGGACATTAGTTCTTATATGAATATATTTGTATAATTTATATGAGGTCTGTCTGGAAAGTATGCAGCCATTGTTAACATGATGAGAATGGTTTGTGCAACATTGATGTAACCTGGCAGTCAGAGAGAGTGGACTGTAATGTGCACGTGTGAACAATGATGCCTTCACTGTAGTAATCTGTGGAGTGCTAGACACTGTTGGGTGAGCATGTGTACTGTGTGGCTGTCGCTTTCAAAATGACTGAGCAATGCATCTGCATCAAATTTTGTGTTAAGCTTGAATATTCCTCTGTGGAACCTATTTGGATGATTTAGAAGGCTTTCGGGGACAATGCAATGAGTACAGCGCAATTAAAAGTTTGTTGAAGTAGCCCGGTGCAGTGGCTCATGCCTGTAATCCTAGCACTCTGGGAGGCTGAGGCGGGAGGATCGCTTGACATCAGGAGTTCGAGACCAGGCAGAGCAAGACCCATCTGGGGATGGTCATGATTGAGACTCAGACTTTTGGGGGAGGGGGGAAATGGGAATTTATTGAAACCTTAAAATCTGTACCCCATAATATGCCAAAATAAAAAAAAAAAAAGGCACTGTAAAAAAAAAAAAAAAAAAAAAAAAAAAAAAAAAAGAACTAATGTCCAGAATACACAAAGAATTCCTTCAGCTTGGTAATCAAATGACCAAAAAAAGGTAGAAAATGAGTAAACACTTAGACATTTCACAAAAAAATAAACACATGGACAATGAACACATGAAACATGTTAAATGGTATTATACAACAGGGAAATGCAAAAGCCACAATAAGATTCATTTCACTGACACACACTCAAATGGCTAAAATAAAACAAGACTTACAAACAAATGTTGGCAAACATGAAATAATGAGAACTCAAATATACTCCTGGGGGATTTATAATACAACCATTTGGGAAACTAACAATTTTTTTTATAATTTCAACATATAGCTCCTATATGACTCAATCAATTAAAAATAGTGAAGAGATTACAAGATAAGATGGGTAGAAAAAGGAAAGGAAAAAGGAAGAAATAAATACAGTAATATCAGACTGAAATTTACATTGAGAAAAGTACACTAGAAGACACTACACTAAAAAACTGCTTATCATTCAATTTCTTTGATGAATAGCTACTCCAGGTTAAAACAAAAGAAGTCATGTAAGTATCTCCTGCCCACTAAAAACAAAGATCTGAGATCCCATAACATCCTTCTAGTACCTTCTTATAAGGAACTCTTGTATTAAAACACACACATTTAGAGGAATAATCCTGTGATGAGAGGAGTACAATAAAGAAATCGATGTCATTTGGCAGAGAGAGATAGACAGCAAGAGTGAAAGAGAGAAAGAAGAAAGATAGGAAGGAAAGAAGGATGAAGGAAACTCAACTTTTAGCACAGCTAAATAACTCCCCAGGATCCTCAGCTCCTGGTAAAAATTTGGGGGTCCTAAGAGACCATTCCTGTCAGAAGGTAACCAATCACCTAAAGTTTAATTCTCCTATGTCCACATGAAAGGAAATGTGGCATTATCAATACATGAGAACATGGAGGGGAATAGTCAAAGATAAACATTTGTTTTGTTTTTTTCAGAACAATTTAACATTCTTCCAACATTGTCACAGGCAAACTTAATAATCCCCTATAAAAGAGGTAAAATTAAGCAAAGGCACTTTCTACCTTAGGTACGTAACCCACTCTCTCTTATAGGAGGAGATAATCAAGTGGTAAATGAAGGTTATGTGTTTTTCCTTTCAAAGGAAAAAGAAATCTGAAGTTATCCATTAAAAATTAGATAAAGGTGGCCAGGCGCAGTGGCTCACACATGTAATCTTAGCACTCTGGGAGGCCGAGGCATGAGGATTGCTTAAGCTCAGGAGTTTGAGACCAGCCTGAGCAACAGCGAGATCCCATCTCTACTAAAAATAGAAAGAAATTAACTGGACAACTAAAAATATATAGAAAAAATTAGCTGGGCATGGTGGCACGTGCCTGTAGTCCCAGCTACTTGCAAGGCTGAGGCAATGGGATTGCTTGAGCCCAGGAATTTGAGGTTGCTATGAGCTAAACTGACCCCACTGCACTCTAGCCTGGGTAACAGAGTGAGACACTGTTGTCTCAAAAAAAAAAAAAAGTTAGAAAAGGTTAAACACCATGGACTTAGTTTAGTTATAAATATGAGAAAATAATTCATTTGTCTAATACTTTATTGCACTTTTGCATACAGTATCTACTGCAGAGCAATGATTTTAACCTTATGAAACTCAGCTACATTATTAATCATGATTGTCCAAAAATATGATTCTGCAATTAGCATATCTATGATCCCAACTAGTATCAAGATTATCCTCATCTTCTTTCTGGAAAAGAGCAACTATATCTTCTCAAGTATTCAGTCAAGATCTACAGGCTGCTCTGGATTCTTACTTGTTACAGCCGTCGGGCCTGCTGTCAGAAGGACCCACCACATGTCCATGAAGTTGCAATGTTGGAAAATCCTGCTGGCAATTCATCCCACTCATCAAATTGATGCCACTGCCCAGGAGTAGGTGCCTTCACCACACTTACTGCATACCTGGTTCTTCATTTCTAGATACTCTCCAGAAGCACAGGAGAAAGCTGGAAGACAGAACGGACAACATATTATTCACTGTCCTCCTCCATCAATCCCCCACTTCATGCTGTCACCAGGATTATTTTTACAAAACTCTGATCATGTCACACCTACCTAAAGCCTTCCAATGTCTCCCTTATCACTGCATGCATTTCACAGTCTGCCCCACAGTATTTTACCAGCCCCACCTTGCCCACCCTTCTCCAATCATAACAAAATTCGTATCGTTCCCAAATATTCATCCTCTCACTTGTTTGTGGGTCTTCTTCCCAGAGATGTTGGCCAACACACTTTCTCTTCTGGAAAACTCCTATTAACTCAAAAATGACCCTCTTCATGACAGAGACCTCCCTAGTCCCCACCAGGCATTGAGCTGTGCCCCTTATACTACTACAGTATCTTTTATAATACCTCCAAGAATATATACATATATATGTGCACGCATACGTGTGTGTGTATATATCCACTTATCATGTGTGTGTATACATACCCTACTTATCAGTTAATGTGAAACTTTGAGCTTAAAGAAAACAAGGATCATGTTTTTTGGATTCCTAA